GGCCACTTTTGTAACCTCTAATCTCAGTCCTGTAAAATTGCTTGAAGCCCTGCTGTCTTCTCTGCCTCTCAGCGTCTGCTAAGTTTCTCAGTCTCTAGTCCAGTACCAAGAATTGACACCTGCCCTGGAGGTGGACTTGGAATGCAGGAAGCTGAGCTCACCTCTATAAACGTCCTTTCTTTCTTGGATATGGTGCCCTGATTCTGCCTTGGCAGTTTTCCTATGCCTTGAAACAATTAAAAAAAATGAAAAGATTTGATCTGGTCTTTAAGTTTATCTTCAGTTTTCTTTCAACTACTCATCGTAGCCAGATGCAAAAGTCCTATAATTAATTATACATGTTGTACACAGATTCTCTGGCATATGGGAAGCCTTTGGTCATTTAAGAAACCAACTAGTATGTGTTGCTTAAAGAGTGTATATATGGAGAGAAATAACAAGGAGTAATGTAGAGGTTGCCTTGTCTTGGTGAACCCATTGCCAACCCGGGGCCCTCTTTCTTCTACTCCAGTTGGCTTATAGTGTGGAGAGAGAGCACCTTACTTTTCTCTCACCTGGCTGCACCCCCAGAATGACTAATTGGGGGGCTGACTGCCTGAGTGTGTTGTTTGGGATCCCGGTGAGCCCTCCAGCCTTCAAAATGCCTCTCGCCCTCCCGAACCCCAGACTAGCTCTGATGCCTTCCGTAAGGAAGAGTCCACAGCTAGAGGAATTTTAAACTTGCCAAAACTCTGAACGCCCAGGGCAACACAGAGACTTTGGTGCACCACAGATGCCAGATTCTTCCTTGAGAGCAGGCATGGGGAGTAGAGAGAGGCATGCTATGACAGAGGGAAAGAGGCAGAAAGGAGAAAAACGGTCTGCTGGCATTATAATCACGCGTCGGCAGTGTCCTTCAGTGTCACAATAACCGGCGGGGCAGGTGGCTCTGGTACCCTTTATCTCCTACATGGCCAGGGGTCCTGCAGGAGGTGAGGAACTGACTACCTTTCTGACTGTCTTCACCCCTGTGCCTCTCTGCCTCCCAGGCTGGAGGAGTGGATCCCATTTCATGCTCCTTTGATCTTTGGGGTCTTCTCTAATGAATCCTTGGTCAGGGGCACAGACCTTTGGACAGACTGCCTACTGCTGAAGCTTGGTGTGCTTCTCGTGCACTGTATATTCTTCCCTCATCTGCTGTCTGTTTGTGTGTGGTGTTCTATAAATACATTAATTGGTGCCACTTTTAATTTAACTGTCACTGCTGTCTCTCTTCTTGACAAGCTTATATTAAACTCTCTGAGGATGGAACAAAATAAAACCACCCAGCCATAAGCGGCCTATTTTGGCTAAAGAGGAATGTAACGAAGAAAAGTTGTAGTCTTTCGTGGTAGGGAAAAGACCATTAACCCTTTGCACTCGCTTGCTTTTTTCTCATTATCCACTCGACATTGTCCACACTCGACCTCTGAGTGCAAAGGGTTAAGACTCCTCGGTGATAGTTTGTATGAAAATTTTAGAGTAAAACTTCCTTCTTAGAAGTGGAGGGAAAAAATCCTCCAGGAAATTGAACTAAGGAAGGAAAGGTAGAATTATCAGAACAACAGCTGCAATTTAGGAAGTGGGCTAAAGCCAATTTCAACTCCATTTTAACATTCATCAAGTCATACTTATTTTAGACGGACTTTGGTTTTGGTAGAGTTTCAGAAACCATATTCCATATATGCCTTAAAAGGCTGCGGCCATTTCATAACAATGGAAACCCAACTGGTACCAGTGCCCGTTTCAAGTGTCTTTTATACTTGATAGAAATTGGGACTAATTGTACAATAAAATATATTTTTACTAACTCCCATCTAGATGGCATTTAAGGACATAGCAGCAAATAATTTTAAATTTCTGCTATTCTGTGTTCTAAAGTTTATAAAACCAATGTTTGGGGATTTGGCAAGTTTAGGGCATAATGAGACCCTTTATTTCTAGATAAATTTAGATTGATATCAGCCAAGACCAGTAGACTGGTGCATCAGTCTGGGTCTGCCAGAGAAACCGAACCAGCGATTGTGGAGCTTGCACATCTGACATTCCTAGAATAGGCCGTCAGGAAGGGCAGTCTGGAATCTGTCAAACCAGAGCTGAAGCTGCAGTCTACATGTGGGATTGCTCCTCCCCCGGGAAACCTCAGTTTTGCTCTTAAGGCCTTTAACAGATTGGATGAGCCCCACTCAGATCATCAAGCATAATCTCCTTTCTTTAAAGTCAACGGACTGCAGATGTTAACCAACCATACCCACAAAATACCTTTGCAGCAGCATTATTTTATTTTATTTTTTCTTGAGACAGAGTCTTGCTTTGTTGCCCAGGCTAGAGTGAGTGCCGTGGCATCGGCCTAGCTCACAGCAACCTCAAACTCCTGGGCTCAAGCGATCCTGCTGCCTCAGCCTCCTGAGTAGCTGGGACTACAGGCATGCGCCACCATGCCCGGCTAATTTTTTCTATATATATTAGTTGGCCAATTAATTTCTTCCTATTTATAGTAGAGACAGGGTCTCGCTCTTGCTCAGGCTGGTTCCGAACTCCTGATCTCGAGCAATCCACTCGTCTCGGCCTCCCAGAGTGCTAGGATTACAGGCGTGAGCCACCGCGCCCTGCCTGCAGCAGCATTTAGACTAGTGTTTGATCACATAACTGGGTATTGTAGCCTTGCCATGTTGACACATAAGACTAAGTACCACCACTGGACATGAAAACTCTCCTCTAGTTTGAACGGAATTATCCGGAGGTGCCATTCGATGTCCGTATACAGCATCAGTCCTGAAGGCCTGGTCTGCGTGGTCGGCTCACTGAATCCTAAATGGAGTCCTTCTCGCAGTGTGGGAGAAAGCCCAGCACGTGCTGTCCTTGTTCCCACAGTTGCTAATGCTTTGACAGGGGCATGAGTTCAGGACACAGACTGTAGGGCAGACTTCTTTATTTTTCATGAAAGCTGCACAGAGTGAATGTCCACGCTCTTAGTCATTTCCTTCCCTCTTTGCCTTTGCTTCTGGAGAATGGTGTGTAAGGAAGGGCTTTTGAGAATTTGTAATGTGTGTTTAGTTCTGAAGAATGCTTAATTTAAAAGAATAAAATTTCTGTAAGTATGGATTCTTTACTTAAAAGTATGTTTCCTTTTAGAACAAAGAGAATATGAAAGAAGAATATGACCACAAAACTGTAAATGTTGGCCAACCTATATTAATTTTATAGATATTTTCATTGTTTATAGCTAGAATAATCTTAAATGTGACTCGATATAACTTCTTTAGTTTGTTTAGTAATTTTATAATTTTAAGTGTATATTATGTTGGAATATGCACAATGAATGCAATGGGAATGTGATGTAATGCGAATGAATGTACACATTCAATAAGAAGAGAAACACATTTGACTTTAGGCTTAGATTCTATTCTTTGGTCACTAAATACTAACCTAGCAATAGTGCAGTGTGAAGAGGAAAAATTATCCAATGTATTTGTTAAATGTAGTGTATCAAATGGGGTTGTAGAAATTCTTCTTTTTCCACCCAAAGCTATTTCAGTCCTCTTTTCCAGTGTAATTTTAAAATACAAGTTCTATGGTTATGCATGTATTAGGCACCTACTAAGATGCTTTGATGTTCTCTGAACATGACACATACTCCTTGTAAAATCCTTGGATTTTTTTTAAGGCCTCCAAATTCTCTATCACTGTACATGAAGAGGAAAAGGGAAGTTTAAATATTTTGATTTTTATTGTCACAATAAAATTATCTTATGAGAGTTCTAAGAAAAAAGAAAGGAACTTTGCAATGTTATTGCCTGAATAAGAGGCAACATTTTCATATTTTGTGCAAATGGGACATGAGTCCAGGTATTCACAGGGCATATCCAGTGAGCTGACAAGAGCAGAGAGTGGAGAGGGCGTCATCCTGACCGACCACAACATCATTTCAGCTGGTGGTGGTGAAACTCAGGGGTTGGAACCTGCTGCATGCAAAGGAAAATTTTTAAACTAGCCTTTTTCATCTTGATTGAGGATGAAAACATAAATGGGAGTATCTGAACCTCTTGCAACCATTTTCTTGGACAGTAATACCTAAGTGTTTTCTTAAAATATCATTTGAGGGGGAGGGGGGGAATGGGCATTTATTGAAACCTTAAAATCTGTACCCCCATAATATGCCAAAATAAAAAAAAAAAATATCATTTGAAATTGAAAATGCAAACTGTGAGGCTCATTAGTTTGTCCATGGGTGGTCTTAAGAGGTTGGACCAAGGCTGGGTGTCTGGGTGTTGGTCTATGTGGGCTGAGTGACGTGTGAGCTGAGTGACCCAGCAGGTCTGGACACGTTATTTCCGGGAAACCTCGAAAATAAATCCCACAGTTTGTCTACTTTCACCTCCCTTCAGCCCCAGAACATTTGGCTTCACAGTGGCCCAGTGAGGCCACACTGCAGAGACTCACAGAGCTGGAAAAGCCCCTGCTCAGCAACAATGGGCTCACCCTCACCTTTGGACACTGTTCAACAAGTGTTTTGCTGACACACTAAGCCAACATGAGCAGTTCTTGATCCAAGGGTGAAAAACTGGCAATCACTGGGGATTAGATGAAGTCTCATTTCTATTATCAAATTATAATCAACCTTTTTGATTACGTAGGATCCATTTTACTTTGTGACTTAGAACACAACTCCAGCTGTGTGTGTGCACACACACTTCCACACCAAACACGTGTTCTAGTTCTCCCCCTTGTTACCTGTGGTTTGCTCTGGTATTTTCTTTCTATTCTGTCCCATCCTACCCTATCTATACTATCCTATACTATCCAATCTCTCCTCTCCTCTCCTCTCTCCTCTCCTCTCCTCTCCTTTCTCCTCCCCTCTCCTCTCCTTTCCTCTCCTCTGTCTTATCCTATCCCATCTTATCCCATCCCACCTCATCCTAACCACTCTATCCTATTGTGTCTGTATCCAAAGTGCTAGTCGTGACTCATTACATTTATATTATGACACTTTAATATCTGGTGGATCTACTTCTAGAAAATAAAACCAGCAGTGTTACAGCTTCATGAACATTGGCAGTGAAAGAAGCTCTTCTGTACGAAATAATCTGCTACCCGAGACGTGCTGATTTCAGATAAGGTGCCCAGCTCTTTTCCTCCCAAGTGAGAAGGACAAAGTGGAGAAGAGGTAAGGATTCACTCTTTCTATAGGACACAGATATACACAGGGATGAATGAACATATCTATGTTATTTTTTAAACCATGTATAGACCTCAAACCTGACTTTCCTTTCCTTGAAGTTGGATAGGAAAGAAGAAAATCAGTATCCATTGAAACTGGACAGTTCATGAATCGGTCCTGGGAATAGGAACTCTTGATGCAACTTTCACATGTCATTGAAGCTTCCAATAAACAGAAGTTACCATCAGAGAGGACTCTGAATAGACTAATCGGTGATCTGGATTAATGTCTTGATATGGGATTAATTTTCTTTCCATGGTCAATTCTGGGTGACATTCTAAAAGCCCCTGGAAAGGAAATTAATCCCCTACTTTCCCTGTGATGTTAATGGTGCTCTCTTGGGTTTTCAAAAGCAACTTTCAAAGGAGAATGTGATTTGGTCCATAGTTCTTGTTTATTTTTGGTTTTCCAGAGTCTGGACTTCTTTATTAAAGGCTGTCAACCTAGGGCCTTGACCACAGAGATTTAGCAACATGTTTTGAAGAAAAAGAAAATCAAAATTGGGGTTAATGAAAGTTAGAAATCTTTGAGTCTCCTTGTAGTTCTCCTGTACAGACACTTGTTTTGCAACTGTCTCTGGTCTGGGTGCGCCAGGTCTTTGCAGACCAGCTTGACCAGAGGAAAAACAAAATAAACATTGCCAATGGTGGCGGTCATAACCGGCAGACTCCTTTTTTTTTTTTCTCTACCAGACAAATCTCTTCTTTTTCCCCCCATTAAAATTTTGTCTCTATTTGACATTTTGAATCACCCTAGAAGGTGGAATATTGTTTTTGTTGAAGCCACTGGGTGTCTCCTACCTACCTTGTCTGGAAAAAGCCCCAAACGTCCCCTTCTCATGTACCCCTGGCCTAGGAATACTGCCCTTCCTGGCCTCTCTGGGTCTTGCTTGCATTGTAGCCCACCTGGCCCCGAGCTGGAAAAAAAATACCTTATCCAGGGTACCTGAATCCCCTAGGGATTATGCCCTCTTGCTCCAAATAGCCCTGAGACCTGGTCTAGGTGGATAGTGAACCTGCAAGGGACCTGCCTAGACGTCAAAGGGCAAATGACATGAAGTGCTCTTAAAAGTCTGAGTATATCAGCAAATCATACAGAAAGTGAAAAACAGAGAGATTCTTGGAGGAGGCAGTGGTTGAAATATTAGCAGCAGACTTGTCAGAACAAAAATACCTTGTCATCACTGCTTGGCCTCAGGAGCAGGTGGGTGTGGAGGTGGTGTCATAATTCTTAGGCTGCTCCTCTGACTTTGTATCTCAAAATACTCACCATTGATTTCTGGTTCCCCCAAGAGTTGGTTCCTACACTTACGTGCTCTTTTCTATATATCCGGGCTCTTTTTTTTTTTTTTAAATATTATTATTATTTTTAGACAGAGTCTCACTCTGTTGCCCAGGCCAGAGTGCTGTGGCATCAAGCCTAGCTCACAGCAACCTCAAACTCCTGGGCTCAAGTGATCCTCCTGCCTCAGCCTCCCAAGTAGCTGGGACTACAGGCATGTGCTACTGTGCCTATATATATATATATATATATTTTAGTTGGCCAATTAATTTCTCTCTATTTTTAGTAGAGACAGGGTCTCACTCTTGCTCAGGCTGATCTTGAACTTCTGACCTCCAGCGATCCTCCTACCTGGGCCTCCCAGAGTGCTAGGATTACAGGCCTGAGCCACAGCGCCTGGCCAGAGCTCTTGTTTTTAAATACTGGCTCTTTTCTTCATACCATGAAGACGAGTTAAAATCTCTCCTGTTTTGATCTATTTGCCATCAAATTGGGACTGACAAATTAAAACTATGGTTCTCAAATGGTGGTCATGGGCAGGGCGCGGTGGCTCAAGCCTGTAATCCTAGCACTCTGGGAGGCCGAGGCGGGTGGATTGCTCGAGGTCAGGAGTTCGAAACCAGCCTGAGCAAGAGCAAAACCCCGTCTCTACTATAAATAGAAACAAATTAATTGGCCAACTAATATATATATGTAAAATTAGCCGGGCATGGTGGCGCATGCCTGTAGTTCCAGCTACTCGGGAGGCTGAGGCAGAAGGATTGCTTGAGCCCAGGATTTTGAGGTTGCTGTGAGCTAGGCTGACGCCACGGCACTCACTCTAGCCTGGGCAACAAGGGAGACTCTGTCTCAAAAAAAAAAAAAAAAAAAAAAAAAAATGGTGGTCATGTTCACCAGGGATTGGTGGGGGGAGGGGAGACCCAATCTTAGGGATGTGGCGAGCATTTTGGAGGGGAAGGGCATAACTAACCCCTCTTAGGGAGAGGCAAAGATATACAATGTAACCAAAATGCCAAAAACAAAACAAAACAAACAAACAAAAAACCCCTTTTCATCGCGTGGTGGGCAGGCGGGAGGGGAGGAGGGGAAGGGTGTAGGCTTACATAGTGTGTGCGGGGCGCACCACCTGGGGATTGGACACGCTTGAACCTCTGGCTTGTCAGGGGCAATATTTGTAATCCTAACAATATTTGTACCCCCATAATATGATGAAATAAAAGGAAGGAAAAAAAAATCTCTCCTGTTTTGGAGGAAGGCCCATGGAGACACGGCCTGCGTCAGGCGGCGGGAGTGGTTCGTGCTGGAGAGAGTCTGGTAATATCTGACATGACGTATTCCTCTGAGTGAAACTAAAAGCGTCCTCTCCTCTTCTTCCTCTCCTCTTCTCCCTCCCCTCAGGCCAGCCGCGGGCGGGACAGCGGAAGCCTGGGCGGCGCCACAGGGACGCCCGCAGGAAGGCGATGGCGGCGATGGCGGCGATGGCGGCGGCCGGCTCCTCGGGCCCGCGGGCCTTTTCCGCGGCCTGGGCCTTCTCCACCTACCAGCCCTTCGAGCCCCGGGCGTGGGGCCTCAGCCCGGGCTGGCGGCTGACGGGCTTCTCGGGCCTGAAGGGCTGAGGCTGCAAGGTCCCGCAGGAGGCGCTGCTCAAGCTCCTGGCGGGACTGAGGTGGCCCCCACCGGGCCGCGGCCTTGGAGAGGTGGCCCGGAGAGCCGGAGACGCGGCCTCCCCAGCCCTGGGCATCGGGCTGGACGCCTGCGTCATCCCCTTGAGGCACAGGGGCCTGTCCCTGGTGCAGACCACCGACTTCTTCTACCCCTTGGTGGAAGATCCCTACATGATGGGGCGCATAGCTTGCGCCAACGTGCTGAGTGACCTCTACGCCATGGGCATCACCGAATGCGACAACATGTTGATGTTGCTCAGCGTCAGCCAGAAGATGAGTGAGGAGGAACGGGAAAAGATAACGCCGCTCATGATCAAGGGCTTCCGGGACGCCGCCGAGGAAGGAGGGACTGCGGTGACGGGCGGGCAGACGGTGGCCAACCCCTGGATCATCATCGGTGGAGTCGCCACAGTGGTATGCCAGCCAAATGATTTCATAATGCCTGACGGTGCTGTCGTGGGGGATGTGCTCGTGTTAACCAAGCCCTTAGGCACCCAGGTCGCTGTCAATGCCCACCAATGGCTGGATAACCCTGAAAGGTGGAGCAAAGTGAAGACGGTGGTCTCCAGACAAGAGGTGGAGCTGGCCTATCAGGAAGCCATGTTCAATATGGCTACTCTCAACAGAACTGCGGCTGGGCTAATGCACTCATTTAACGCCCATGCCGCCACAGACATCACAGGCTTTGGCATTCTTGGGCACGCTCAGAGCCTTGCGAAACAACAGAGAAATGAAGTATCCTTTGTCATTCATAATCTCCCCATCCTTGCCAAGATGGCTGCGGTCAGCAAGGCCACTGGGCAGTCTGGGCTCCTTCAAGGAACCTCAGCTGAAACCTCTGGGGGATTGCTGATTTGTCTGCCAAGAGACCAGGCAGCTCACTTCTGTTCTGAAATCAAGTCTTCCAAGTATGGAGGGGTTCACCAAGCATGGATCGTTGGCATTGTGGAAAAGGGAAACCGGACAGCCCGGATCATTGACAAGCCTCGAGTTATTGAAGTCCCACCTCGTGGGGCCACTGCTACTGTTTTCACTCTTGACAATTCTAGTGCCTCCTCGGAGCCACCTCATGACATGAAATGGCAGAAGTTGTTTGGGCCTTAGAGCCTTTGTACACAATTGTGGACAATTCTCAAGAGTTAATTTTAAGAAATTGCCTAAGAAGGTTGCCTGCATAGTGGGTCCAGCTTCCCTTTCTAGGTGATTTGAATCAGCCCGTCAAAAGCTGCCTTTGTGTACATTCCAAGGCCAGAAGTAGCATTTTGAACTTTGGGGGGACATTTGTTCATCTATGGGTAAAAGAGGAGCAGAAAAACCTGTTTCCTCTTTCCAAAGTAAGATGAGGTTATTCCGGTTTGAGGGATTTTTCTTTGCATTGGGTTGATTCACTTCTGCATAGACGGTGAGATTATTAAAAGTGCATACCCACATGAAAAAAGTAAATTGCAAAATGAAAAAAATTTAGATCAGAAGCAAATGAGTTTGAACCAATACTGCTGAGAAATCTAAATTACTAAGAGAGATCTGATAATGTAATGTCTAATTCTTTATTAGATTTTTCTGAAGTACTGGCTCTTTCCTGCTCTGGGCAAGAATTGAGCAGCTTGTCCAGCGACTGGGAAAGGAGGGCCTGCCACCATCCGACTTGGCCTCTGTTAATGACGCCTCTCCTTCCAACCCCATTAAGGACAGGGAGAGGCAGAGCAAAACAAGAGCCCAGGTGTTGGTGGTCATTACCATGTTAAATCTTGTGCTGACAATTTCTGGTGATTTAATCAATAAAGAGTAATTTCTAGCTAAAAATAATCTCACCCATTTTGGAACACGGAACCCTCCAACTATCCTCCTTTTCCTTCCAACGGTTGCTTCTCATTCTCTCCATGTGTGCACTTTAGGTGTGTCTCAACTTTTGGTGTGCACTAAAATCTCCTATAGAACATGTTAGAACACAGATTGCTGGGCCTTATCCCCAGAGTTTCTGATTTGGGAGGTTTGGGGTAGGGTCCAAGAGTGCACATTTCAGACAAGTTCCCAGGCGATGTTGATGGTTAGGGGCCAGCTTTGAGGACCATGGCTCTACAGAGCACCCTCTACATTCAGTGGCTTCACTTGCTGTTTTTCCATTTACTACCCAGCTCGCTGCTGCCTGCCCACTGCCCCACCACTGCTGACCTCCAAAGGTCAAATCCAGTGGACGCTTTGTGTCCCATCTTACTCAAGCCATCTGTGACATTGGTCACCCGACTACATTCCTCTCTTTCTTCCTTTGGTTTCCCTGACATCACTCTCTCCCAGTTGTTTCCTTCATTTCTGGCTGCTCTTTTTGAGTTGCCTTTTCAGCAACCTCTTCTACCCATGGTGTGTTTTGGTCTTCTCAGGCACTGTGCTTGTCCTCTGCACTTTTCACTCTACTCTTCCTGGGCTGCCTCACCTACACTTACTTCTCCAGCATATGCCAGTAACCCTCAGAGTGACCTCTCTACCACAGGCCTCTCTTCTAGCTCCATATCTGCATATCTACCAAGTCAGGAAGTTAGATACATCCCCAACAGGCTTATTATATTTACCCCCAAATCATCCCCTTGTTTTCCTGATCCCCATGAAGGGAGACCATTTTTCCCTGAGCTAGGAATCTGTGTGCTATTTTTATTTTTTTCTCCCTCATTCTTAATCCTGACGTCCAGTTCTTCATCAGAATATCCCTTACATTCCCCTCTACCCTTCCTTTCCTTTTTCATTGCTAATGCCTTGGTTCACTGCTGTTTGCCAATATTACTGGGAGACCCTCCTAACTCTTAACTCTGTTTCCAGGCTGCGACAGTACAGGGATAGTTCATGGGCATCAGCTTTCTGTTATTTCTGGGCACATTTTAAATATAGGAATATATGGGTCTCTCAGATCATGTAACATTTTGCCATTCTGTAAGTTCTTGTTTTGCCATTTGATATTCCATCATTTTATACAACAAGAGGACTCATCATATGCATCTGAAGCATGTATGGCATTGCTGTTCATTGGTGGAAAATCTATAATTTTTCTCCAGCACAATGTGTATTAACTTCTGGCATTCTGGACTTGGCTGTTGCAATCCTTTCTTAATGAAGTGCCACTGCTGAGAGGGGAGAAACTAAAGGGACCCTCCCCCAATTTAGATTTAGTGCTAGGAGGGAACAGTAAATACAACAATATAGGAGGTAGACAATCTTAGCTCCATTTCACAGATGAGGAAACTGAGGCTCTGAGAAGGTAAGTAGAGTTAGAAAAAAGTGTAGCCAAAGATACAAACCACATCTGCAAAAAGCAGGAAAGCAGGTTGTAGAAAATGAGAGATGTTTAGCTCCCTCTGCATAGAAGAGTATAGTTTCTGCAGAGTATAGTTTCATTATTTTGTTGAAGTGTGGTAAATTTTAATTAACCCAGACATCCCTATAATGAAGCAGATTCCTATAATGAAGTGGAAAAAGTCCTAAAGCCAAAAATGATCTTGTGATCCATTTCGATAGGCAGTGTTGTTCTGTGTATGTGTGTGATGTGTATGTACGTGTAGTTCTGTGAAAATTTAAAAACGTTTTATTTGGAAGTAACTATAGATTCTCAGGAATTTGCAGAAGTAGTACAGAGAGGCCCTGGTAATCTTTTATCCAGTTTCCCCAGTGGTTACTTCATATATGACTATAGTGTGATGTCAAAGCCTGCAAACTGACAGTGGTATGACGTGTGTGTACATAGTTCTGCCAGATGTGTAGATTCATGTAACCACTGCAATCAAGATATAGAACTATTCCATCACCAGAAATATCTCCCTCGTACTATGTTTTTAGAATCATTTCCTCTTCCCTCCACCATCCCTAACCCTGGCTACCCCTAATCTGTTGTCCATCTCTGTAATTCTGTCATTTTGAGAAGGTTGTATGAATATATGGTATTTAACCTCTTGAGACTGACTTTTTTCACTCCATAATGTCTCTGCATATAGTTGGGGCATATTTTTAAAATCTTCTCTGCCAGTATGTGTCTTGTCTCTCTCTTGCTTATTTCAAGATTTTTTTCTTTACTTTTATTTTTTAGAAGATTAAATATGTTGTGTCTTGGCATGGATTTGTTTAGGTCTATCTTCTGTAGAATTTGCACAGCTTCTTGATTCTTTGGATTTATGTCTTTTATCAAATTTGGGGAATTTTTAGCTATTATTCTATAACTTTAAATACTTTTTTAGCCCCACCTTCTTTCTCATCTCCTTCTGTGACTCGAAGAACATGTTTGATTTCTTTGTTGTAGTTCCGTAGGTCCCTGAGTATGTTCATTTTTTTCAATTTATATCCTTACTGTTATCCAAAACAAGGAACTTCTATTGTTCTATCCTCAAGTTCACTGATTCTTTTCTCTGTCCTTTACCTTCTGCTGTTAAGCTCATCTATTGAATTTTTTGTTTGTTTTTGTGTATTTTGGTTCTAAAATGTATATTTGGTTCTTCTTTACATCGTCTATTTGTTTGCTGAGATTTTCTATTTTTTCCTCTGTTTCAAACATGTTTTTGTAATTGTTCATTAAAGCCTTTTTATGATCACTGCTTTAAAATCTTTGTCAGATAATCCCAACATCAGTATTATCTTGGTGTTGGCTTCTGTGGACTGTCTTTTCTTATTCAACGTGAGATTGTCCTGGTTCTTGGTGTGATGAGTGATTTTTTATATTATCATGGACATTTTGAGTATTACTTTATGAGACTCTGGATCTTACTTAAATTTTCTGTTTAGCAGGCTTCTGACACTCTGCTGGGGGAAAAGGGGTGCACTGCCTTGTCACTGCCCAGTGGGGTGAATGTCTAGGTTCCTCTCTTGGTTTCTTTAGTGCCCCCAGGAGGGACTCCCTCTTAACTGCTGGGTGATAGTGGATTCGAGCCCCTTGTGGGCCTCAGCTAGCCCCATGCTGGCTGGGAAGGACAGGGATGTCCCGCTGATGCTTCCCATGGGGCACCCCCGACATTGTACTTGAGTAAGGGGTAGGGCGAAAGCATTGTAATTCTGTTTCTGTATTTGGATTGTTCTGCTCCTAGATAGAAATCTTGGAGGTTCTGAAAAACTCCTTGACCTTGTTTCTTCTGTACCTTTGTCTCTACCCCAACTAGCTGGGTTTGTAAACACAGACTAAGTGAAAGGCACGCATTTCCTCTGTGCTAAGAGAAAGCTCATTTGAGGAGTTGGGACTGTCCTTTCAGCATGGAAGTCACACGAGTTTTAGTCTCTTAGTCAGTTTGGACTGCTATCACAGATACCATAGGCTGGATGGCTTAAACAACATTTATTTCTCCTAGTTGTAGAAGCTGGAAAGTCTAAGACCAAGGTGCTGGCCAATTCAGTTCCTGGGGAGGGCATTCTGCCTGGTTTGCAGAAGAACGCCTTCTTGATGTATCCTCACATGGTAGAGAGAGAGATTCCCTTTCCCGTGTTTCTCTTTATAAGGGCACCAATCCCATTAATGAGTATGCCCACCCTCAAGACCGAATTACAGTTGGTCTCTGATTTATGATGGTTCAATTTATGCTTTTGCAACTGTATAGTGGTGTGAAAACAATAGGTATTCTGTAGAAATTGTACTTTGATCATACGACCATTCGGTTTTCCACTTCAGTACAGTATTCAAATAATTGCATGAGATATTCAACACCTTCTTATAAAAGAGGTTTGAGTCAGATGGTTTTGCCCAACTATAGGCTAATGTAAGTGTTCTGAGCATGTTTAACATAGGCTATGCTATGCTACGTTGTTAGGAAGGCCTTGATGAAGGTAGTAAAGGCAGTCAGTATACAAGTTCAAGTCATCAAAATCCAAAATGCAGGGTATGTTTACTCATGCGTATTGTGTCTTTACTCCTTGCTAATTCTTAATTATAGTTTACCTCATTTATTGAAAAATCTAAATGTTTTATTCACTTATGTTTTTGGCAATGGGTAACTTAGCTTATAACTCTCTCCTTGACTGTGGTATTCCTTATATAACTTTTATTGCATCACTTACAAACATAGGATATGATTAATGATGAGTTTGCCTTTAGATTATATGCTAATGGTTTCTGGAATTTCATGTCTTAATATGAGGAGAAATTAAAAATATATATTAATTTAGGCCGGGCCTGGTGGCTCACACCTGTAATCCTAGTACTCTGGGAGGTCGGGCGGGAGGATTGCTTGAGCTCAGGAGTTTGAGAGCCTGAGCAAGTGCAAGACCCTGTCTCTACTAAAAATGGAAAGAAATTAGCCAGACAACTAAAAAAAAAAAAAAAAAAAAATAGAAAAAATTAAAATTATCCCGGGCATGGTGGCATGTGCCTGTAGTCCCAGCTACCCGGGAGGCTGAGGCAAGAGGATTGCTTGAGCCCAGGAATTTGAGGTTGCTGTGAGCTAGGTTGACACCATGGCACTCTAGCCTGAGCAACAGAGTGAGAGACTCTATCTAAAATATATATATATATATATATATATATATATATATATGTTTAAGCAATATGAGACAAGCACTTATTTATTTCTGTAAAATTTCTTAACACTTTAAGCAAATGTAACAGTCTATGAAAGCGGGACTTGGATCACTAAGCAGCTGTGGTTGAGACACATTTCCCAGCCTTCTTTGTGGTTAGGCATGGCCATGTGACTGAGTTCAGCCAATAGAACATGAGTGGAAGTGAGCCATAAAAACCTCCCAGGTCTTTCTCCTTCAAGGGCAATCTTGGAGGGAAAATGTGGAAGACAGTGGGACCATAGGTCCCTGAATTATTGTGCTTGAAAGGGTCTTGTTCATCAGAAACATTCACTTTAGAATTTACATGAGCAAAAATAAGCTCAGTTATATTACTCTGCTCAGATTTGGGATTTATCTGCTCATCAGCT